ATATCGATTAGAAGTAACAATTTTGAAATGCATAATACAGCAATATGTGCTATGGCTCCACTTTTCTTCGCATTTCGTTGACGAAATTATGCACCATTGACTGCCCGATTTATTTTTGATTTGCAAGTAGCATCTCCACAACTGATAGATTATCTTTCAAAATCATTTAGTGTTCAGCGTACAGCAAGACCGTTTTCTGCAATTGTAGTCGACCAAACCATTGAATGTACGATAAACAGATATGGCAAAGGCCGGGGTAGAATTAGTGGACATTTCAGTAAACAACTAATTGATCAATGGTGTNTCTCATTTCGTGCCATTTTGTCATCAGTCGTTGCTGAAATTGTCAGTTTGGAGACAGGATTGAATTCGCTTGATACTCATATTGAATGTACACCGACAAGAATTGAAGTAGATAATAAAGATCTTTCACTGTGTATAGCAAAATTTACATCTGAAAATCTATTCTACTGTGAACAGAATTCTCTTCCAAAATTATTCACTGGAAAAATTATACATAACGATATCGTACTAAGTATCTGTAATTCCTATGAACGTGGATATGAATTGTTGAAGAAATATATTGTTGAACGATTAATAAACAAAACTGTAAATGTATATGATAAAATAGATTTCGGTAAAAGTCGTAAACTATCGTTTAATTGATCNTGCAGACGAACTGCAAAAATCAACCTCGCTGTTCTTTCCTATATTCTGCACAATGATTGAAGTTGTGCAATGACTCGATGTTATCCTTCAATGTATATTTTTATTGTGTTTTTGTGTTTTGTTTTTTCTCGTTTTTCGTAAAGTAGTTCGGCAAAAGTCGTAAACTATCGTTTAATTGATCAGATAGTGTGACAAAAGTGGATGATGTTTTAAAGTAAAGCATGAATTCTTCTAAAAGTAAGACTGAAATGGACGTGTATAATAATTTGATTCATCTGAACGACTTGTTAAAATGACTAACATTCAGAATTGCACGTAACCCAGGCAAACTTTTTCTACGAATAAAACGCGCTAGAGTGCGTTTAAATTTTCATAGAAACTAACGCGTTTAGCAGAATGTTTTTTGTCACATTCCGAACGTTCAAACGCGTTACTGATTAACGCGTTTCACAACGTCGTTAATCAGCGCGTTATAATTTAACGCGTTTGAACGCTCGAAATGTGACAAAAAGCATCCTGCTAAACGCGCTAGTTTCCAGTGCGTTTAAACACGTTAAATTTTTAAATTTGAAAAAGATTACAAAGTAAGTTCAGAATCAGCTGACGTTTACAGATATTCTCCATGCTCTCAAACGGCCGTCCACGGCTATCTTAAAGTCAAGGTTCACAAGTTAAGGAAGATTAAAGCAACTTACTCTGTTGTGACGATGATTCGAAGTTATCAACCTTCTTTTCGCTATACTGCGAAGGAATTCGTAGGAATTAAATCCGGTGAGCCGCGTTAGATTATAACGCATTGAGCTGCAGCTTCTACGAAATGTTTCCGAACGCGTTCAGCTGCGTTAAAGGTGGCGAATTACGCCGTGAAACGCATTATTATTAAACGCACTTAAACGCGTTTGTTCCTGACGCGTTCAAATGCGTTTGAGAGACATCAACGTGTCTAAACAAAATTGAGATGTGACTAGAGATGGGCCGTAATACGTAAACCTGGAAAGAAAGGAACGAACGATTATTCGTTATTCACTATAACAAACCATGTTTCATTTATAACGAGTAAAGAATAGTCGAATAATGAATATATGAATATACCTCAAAAAAGAAAGAGAAAAAGAGCTCCAACGTACGTAACACGTAATAAACGTAACATTTGTTTTCTCTTATATACTATAAACGAAGAAACGTAACAGCCAATACGAAGGAAAGAACAGTAGACGATATACAATAAAATTGAATATCGCAACTTTATTAAGCAACAAAAACAGAGTAAAGAGAGAATGTGTACTAGAAAATTATTCAAATCCAAGTCATATTTTTATTTAAAAACAATAGTGTGTCAGCGTTATCTGGCGTTAATCTCGATCTTCTGATACTAGCTATATGTCCAGCGGCAGAAAACATTCTTTCTAACTGTACACTTGTGCCTTGTATACATAAATATTTCTTAGCTATTTTTGATATTACTGGATATTTTTTACAATTAGATTTCCACCAATTTGATGGTGGAATCTGTTCTATCTATTTCTTGTTCTTTTGTGTATAAATCAAACTCAGTATGGGATGAATTAGTAGTTGGTGATTGAGAACCAAAAATAAAATTTAGATCAATTTCTTTTGTTTGAGTGAGAGGTTGAGATAACATAGATGAAGATGAAGTTGGAGGTGTATGTTCATTATACTCTTTTAGCAAAAGTGAATATGCTTCAACCTTACAGTTAAATGCGTTAAGCCCGTATGGATCAAATGATGATGGTTCTAAACTGGTTTATAAACCAGTAACAACTGGTAATACTTTAGAAATTGTTGGTAAAGATGCTAGTGCTAATTGGCGTGTGGCTGTTCCAAATGGTTTTAACGTACTCTAAATAGGAGAAAAAACAAGATTTATTTATAAGAAGCTCTGCTATCAAGCACTTCTAACTTTTAGCTTTAGTTGCACTTGCAAATCCCATTCAATGCTCGTTGGTACATTAGCTTTAATTAGCTTTTTGAAATTCTTTTTCTTGAAGACATGCTGTTATAGGGTCTTTTTCTTCGATTAATCTTTCTATCATATAATACGTACTATTCCAACGTGTTACAACATCATAAATTAACTGACGTTATTTCATATTAAATAATTTTTGAAAATGATTCAAAGTTTCTTTAGCTAAATGACTATTTTTGACTAATAAAACTAATTTTCTAACAGTTGCTAATGCTTCTTTTACATCATCTAATTCATATGCATCAACCACACACACATTAATAATATGATCCGCGCAACCAAACCAATCTTTCTTAAAATCTCTTCCAACTTTTTTCATAGTACTACAATTATCCGATACTAAACATACGATTTTATCTAATATACCCCATTCAATACATATATCTTGAAGAGCTTGTGTTATGCGATCGGCTGTATGATTACCACTAAATTGAGTTGTTTGCAATACAAAAGTTTTTAATTCATAATTTGAGGTAATTAAATGACTTGTCACTGCTATATACGGTTGATTACAATCTGATGTCCAGTCATCCGTACTAATACAGCTCCCTAGCGCATCTTTTAATTGCTCAATAACAAGATCTCGTATTTCATTATACATATTTTGTAATATATTTGTCATTAGATATTTTGGTTTTAGTAAGTTATATGAAGGTTCAGCTTCATGAAAAATAGGCTGTAATTTTTCGTCTATACTCACTCATAAATCAGTGATAATATAGTCTGTCTTTTCCGAATGAGAATAAACGGAACTAAGTTATACGAATAATCGATTCTTTGTAATGAGACATAATAATGAATTGAAGAGAACGAAAATGAGACAGTTCTTCTTTCTGCCGCTTCGTATATTTCACATTAAACGTATTCGTTCTATTCGACTTCATTACGGCCCATCTCTAGATGTAACCAGTTCTGAGACGGTCAGTAACAGTTTAGGTAAATAGTCATGATGATGAAAATATTTTTTTTGAAATTGGATTGTACATTAGTTCATCTGTTAGAAATTCTTCGTGCGCAAAAAGAAAGAAGAGGTCTATTAAGGCTTTGTATGTTCAAAAAAATAAGCCATCTATTGTTATGAAACAAAGAAAAAGCAGATTATCTTCGTGGAAAGTCGAAAGAATTGAAGTTAATTAGGCCTGTTACAGTACAATCAATCTTGATCTTTTTGTAATCGATAAAAACTAGTTTAGCATAAAGACGTCTCCGTTCGCAAAACCGGTAAATTCTAAAAATTCATGTTTCAAGTTTGAATCAAGGCTGACTGCTGTTTGACCAGCCTCAATTCAATGTATAGTCAGCTAGTAGCGCCCGCTGCAGCCAGCTATAAAAAATGTAAAAATACCGAAACGGGTAAGCGGACGCTGTAGCTAGCTACACTAGTTTCTATACAGTCTAAATAAATGGTTTTTTTACTGAATTTCAAGATCTTGGATAAGATTTTCAAAGAACATCAAGTCAAACATATCACCAGATCTGGGTCACGAATTTTCAAGAAGTAGAATCTATAAAGAAC